AATTTTCGTTATCTTGATTGTTGTTTTCGTTTGATGCTGTGAGTGGGTTCCAATTCATAGTAACCCCATGTACAACAGAATGAAACACCGCCTGGTCCTGCTCCATCCTCTCAATCATTGCTTTGTTGGAGCCCATTGCTGCAGCCACTGTGTAATCCATCTCATTGAGAGTCTTCCTCTTTTTCACTGATTCTCTACTTTACCAAACATGATATCTTTCTCCAGGGACTTATCTCTCCATATAACATGTCCAAAGTACACGAGATGAAGTCTCACCATCCTCACTTCTAAGGAGCATTCTGGCTGCATTTCTTCCAAGATAGATTTGTTTGTTCTTCTGGCAGTCGATGGTACATTTAATATTCTTCACCAACATCATAATTCAAATGCAGCAATTCTTGCTTATTCATTCTCCAGCTTTTGTATGCATATGAGACTATTGAAAATACCATGGTTGGGTCAGGTGCACCTTCATCTTCGAAATGACACTTTAAAAAGGTCTTTTGCAGCAGCTCTGCCCAATGCAATATGTCCTTTGGTTTCCTGACTGCTGCTTCCACAAGCATCGATTATGGATCCAAGTAACATTAAATTCTTCATAACTTCAGTATTTTCTCTGTTTATCACGATGTTGCTTATTGGTCTACTTGTGAGGATTTTGGTTTCCTTTATGTTAAGGTACAATCCACACTGAAGGCTGTAGTCTTTGACCTACATCAGTAAGTGCTTTGAATCATCTTTGCTCTTAGCAAGCAAGGTTGTGTATATTGTTGTGTATATCGTGTATAAGTCTTCCTTCAATCCTGATACCACATTCTTCTTCATAGAGTCCAGCTTCTCATATTATTTGCTCAGCATACGGATTGAATATGTATGGCAAAGGATACAACTCTGATGACGTCTTTTCCTGATTTTAAACCGTGAAGTTCTGTTTGAACTCTTGTTCTGTTCAAATGACTGCCTCTTGGTCTACATACAGGTTCTGCATGGGTAAAATTAAGTGTCCTGGAATTCTCATTCTTTGCCATGTTATTGTTAATTTGTTAGCATCTATACAGTCAAATGCCTTCAAATAGTCAATAAAACACAGATAAAGCCATCTGATCTGCAACCTATACAACTATGAGACCAGAAGAACTAGATGGTGCCCGGCTACCACTGTCATCCACTTGGAAGGGATGTAGGAGATC